AGATTTGAAAAAGGCGTTGCCAATAAATCGTATTGATGTAAAACATACGCACATCTATTTGTCATTCAAACAATGTGTACCGACATAAAAATAAAACAGTTATGAAATTTAAATATGATATCACTATATTTAAAATAACTGTAATGAAAATTTTAGTCACATTTAAAAATATAATATAGAATATATTAATAAAATATAAATAAAACTCCAATAGGAATATTTATATCTTATTTTTATAACAATAGGTAATTTGCCAAAGGTTTGGAGCCTCTGATTTTTGGATCTTTTACGTCATAAATCTGTTGAACGAATTTGAAAAACGAACGAGTAATAAGTCAGAAAGTTGTGGTGGCCCTGAGGTTAAGGCGCCCGCTTCTCATGCATGAGGGTGCGGGTTCGAAACCTAGCAAGTACCAATGTGACTTTTTCCGAGTTATATGTACTTTCTATGATTATTTAAACACCACTGACATACGGTGAAGGTAAATATCGTGAGGAAACCTGGACTTATAATTTCTAATTATAAGTTTGAAATCACCAACCCGCATTGAGTGGTGATTAATGCTCTAAACCTTCTCCGTGTGAGAAGAGGCCTTTGCTCAGCAGTGGGCACTTATAGGCTGATGATGAGATAAATGTTAAGTGTATCTCCATGGGCATCGGATGAGTCACGAGTGCGTTGCCAACCTTTTAGGGATTAGGGATTTGGAAATTATGGGATTGCGGGTGGGGAAGGATTGCGCCTCCGGTAAACTCACTCACACGGCGAAACACAACGCTGTGGTTCAAATAACACAACGGATTTTTTGAACCGATCCGTGTGTAATAGATTCTATCAGAGTAGCCAGTATAGGTACTATTCTTTGATCGGAGTGATACCACGGCTTCACAGAAACCGGCGTGTACAACTACGTGCGTGTTGTTTTTCGGTGTATGAGTGAGGTTTCTGGAGGCCCGATCATTAAGTCCCTAACACCCAAAAAGACACGAATCCTTTACTAACTTGGGCAGCATCGATTGCTTACCATCAGGTAATCCGCCTGATTGTTTACGGTCCATTAAAAAAAAAAGGTTACTGGGAACAGCTACGAGAACAAACATTGAAAAAAAGACAGAATGGGTTTTTCTTTTCTACTTAAAAAAACTTTCTAACCATTAAAAGGACAGTAATTTTGTAACCTAAAGCTTTGAAACTGATAACACGTTATCTTCAGCGAACGTGACATGTTTTGAAAAATGGCGGAATGCGTACGATTTCACTTTGAAACGATTTTGTATGGCAGACTATTAAATGCGGGTAATGATAAAGTATTGACAATAATAAATCCTGGAGTGATGTAAGTAGAATGTATTTTGGCTGGCTTTCAAGCGAGGGGAACTGGGAATCCGTCTCTGGAAGCAGTGATGGTCGGAAAGATGCTTCACTTGAAGACAGACCGACAGACTTGCGCATAAAGTTAACTTATGATATTTATTTTTTGTTTCTCGTTCAATAGTGCCTATTTTGTGCTATTTGAAATAAATATTTGACTTTGACTTTAAAGGAGGCGGACCGCGTGAGGGAACTATCCCTCATGCCCCCAGCCGCCGCATTTGTAGACAGTTCTGCCATCGGAGGTCGCGTGATATCCTCCAGCCACGGGTCTACGGACAGCAAGCTAGGCTTGTCGACCAGAACCAGACCCGGACGTGGGGCGCGTAAGAAGCGTTACGTACGGGCCTCAAAAAGTTAATAGACCACCACAGATAGGTCCCAAGGGCTTATGTTCAGTCAGGCTTGGGCGGTCTCACTTGGAGCAGGAGAAGACCGGGCGGATTTTTAGTCAGTAAGAGTCTGATCCCTCTCAGCTCACCCTGGCCGAAAGAAGACTTTTGAAGATTTTCCCCTCACAAAAAAAAAACGTTGTTCAAAAATAAACAAAAACGGACTGCCGCCACCACCTCATAGATTTTTTTCGAAAATTCCCAACCAAGACTTGAGAAGTTTAAAGATCTCCCCACTTTAAAAAGTTTAAAAAAGCACAATAGGTAGGTATAACTAATACTGCTTCCAACAAGGGTATCGAAATCAACCGTCAACCGTCACCGTCAGACGGAAACATCCACAGAGTTCAATGACACTTTAAAACGGTATATGCTATATGTTTAGGTAAAATATCTACGAAATATGTAAATAACATACCGGCTTTATATAGGTTAGTCAGAACATTAAAATACCATTTAAAATAACCGGCAAAACTTGCGTTTGAAAATGATTTGGCATTTTTTCTCTATCATCAACTTCCAAACTTAAAATTAAGTTCGAAAGTAACTCTGTCGGTCTGTCTTTTCTTCACGCCTAAACTACTGAACTGATTTCTGTAAAATTTGGTATAGACATAGTTTGGAACTCAAGAAAGGACATAGGATATTTTTTATTCCACGCGTACGGAGTTGCGGGCAAAAGCTAGTATAGTTTAAAACAAAGTCGCTTTCTCTGTTCCTATATCCCAATGTAGGTATGTTCAAATATTTAAAACAACGCAACGGGAAAGTGAAAGGAAAAGTATGGCATGCTTCAGTAGAAACAGGCCGAGGGATAAATAAAATGATGGCTTAGGTACCTCCTAGCAGTCTTGCTTTGATGAATCACCAAATAGTCTGCGTCCCTATATCTCTATATATGCTTAAAACTTTAAAACTACGCAACGGATTTTGATGCAGTTTTTAATAGAGTGTGATTGAAAAGGAAGGTTTATATTTGTATAATAACATACATTAAATAGTGGACAAATTTAGTATCAGTATTTCACACGTGCGAAGCCGGGGCAAGTCGCTAATAGTACTAAAAAAAATGTCAAGAGTACTTCCGCGTCTCATTACGACGATCAAACTTAAAAAAAAACAATAACCTACCATTCACAAACAAGAAGACAGTATCGTTATCACAAGCTAACGTAACACACACATGTAACACATGCGCCGGCGCAGGTTCTCACACACGCACACTAATATAAATGGCTACGGTAAACGTAGCTATGTGGGTCGCGGAACACCTGTTCATCCGTTATGTTGCTTCGCGGATACGATTGTAAAGAAGGGTAAGTAGAAGTGTTTATGTACTTTTAATTATTAGATATATAGATAGATAGATAGTTAAAGGTTTTATTAACAAAAAATGGGGAAAGAATAAAAAGATATACATATCTATACTATCTATACCTACTAATATTATAAAGAGGTAAAATTTGTAAGTTTGTATGTAGTGGGTAATATCTGGAACCGCTGGTCGGATTGCCAAAATTCTTTCACTGATAGATAGCTACAATGTTCCTGAGTGCCACAGGCTATAAAACATCACGCTACGATAAAATGGAGCCGAGCAGCGGGTGAAACCGCGCGAGAGTAGCTAGTAAACTATACAAGCTAGAACCAGACTAGTTGACGAAGTTATGATGTGGTGTCTGGTTTTCCTATTATATATCTGTCTCGAGTGTCTGGTAACCTTTTTCCTAAGTGACATATATAGTTATGTAAATTCCAAATTTGGGTAGTTTCCGAGGCCAAAATAAATTTTTCAATATTGAATAATAACTATACTTTTATTCATTGATCGATCCATACACTAAAATTTTAGATATTTTGTAGCTAATTATTAAGAAATAAGTAAGCTATACGATGCAAAAATACTACGACGCCATAAGTCAGTTTTTCATACTTCCACATAGAAAAGTATCGTTTTCGACATTTGGATAAAAGTATTGAATTTGATTAGTTGGAAACTACCGTATTATTAAGGTAGACACGAATGACATTTCGTTGTATTCAAACGTCCCATTAATTTATTGTTGACCTAGGAAACTAGCCAATTATCACGGTTTGTGTGATACAGCCTCGTGATATATCCCCTTTATTCATCGGTAACCGGAACCCTATTATCAAGCACTGAATACAAACTAAGAAGTTTTTATAAAGACTTGAAACCTCTTTGGGCCATTCCGTTTCACAATGGCCGCTGCCGCCATGACACATTGTCTCTGGTTGCGTAAGGGTGCTTACGTCCTTCTGTGAGTCATCGTAATGACTTTGGTCTAGTTCAGTCCATCCGTTTGGGGATTTTTTTGGTTTCTTCATCTCTTAAACTCATCTTTTTGCTGGTCAAGAATGTTTAGTAATTTGTTATGTAGGTAAATAAATAAAATTGGTCATCCATAGTTGGTTTTGATTGAACGTGTTTAAGCTTTCTATTTTAGGTAGGTACTTTTTTTTATGGTATATGTCGGCAAACGAGCAGACGGATTACCTGATGGTAAGCATATGCGCCGCCCATGGACAACCGCAACACCAAAGGACTTACGACTGCGTTACCGGCCTTTTGGGGATGGGGGTTGCGGATATAAGGATCGGGAAGCGATAGGGGAAGGGGAGGAATTGGGCCTCCGGTAACCTCACTCACACGTCGAAACACAACGCTGTTGGTTGTTTTAAGCCGGTATTCTGTGAGGCCGTGGTATAAAACGGCCCCGGGCTAGCGATACCACGGCCTCACAGAAAACCAGCGAGAAACAATTTTAGCTTTGTGCTTCGCCATAAGAGTGAAGTTACCAGAGCCCTAATCCTTCACCTTCCGCAATCCCTGAATCCCCAAAAGCTGAGCAACGCACTCGTAACTCCTCTGTTTTTACTATTAGCGGCGCCGATTGCTTACCATCAGATAAACCGGTCAGCTCGATTGCAGACTTATCCTTTAACAAAAAGAAATAATAATAATAACAAGAAATCGTACACGGATATGCCTCATACATCATTCTAAAGACAATTGTGTAATGTACCACGGCTTTGGGTCAATGAGCATTGAAACGGGGTCGTCGGTGACGTCAGAGTTATTGCGGTTTGGCGTGACGTCACGCTCAGGTGGTTCAACATCCGGGCTGGGGGATTAGTGTTCTTGTAGGCTTTAGTGTTAGGGTTGATATTTCTCTGAAGGAGAAGATATGGAAGGTTTTTTTAAAGGTAACTCGATGTTTGGGTTTATTATTAAGGGTAGCTCGCCACCCGACCAGAACCAGATAAGAGCGTACGGCGTGCAGCGTTCCGCGCGCCTCAAAGACCCAATAGACCACTACAGACGGGGCCCAATAGGGCTGATGTTCAGCCGGGGTTGCGGGGTAAGCTCAATGAGGAACCGCGATCTCGTCCCGGAGCAGGAGAAGGAACGGAGGGTTTTTAGTCAGCAAGAGTCTGATACTCCCTCCCTCCCGGCCCTGAGCTGGAGATGTGATGTGATGATGATGATCTTCCTCTCACAAAAAAAAGTGTTATACTCAAAACTCGTTACCTAAGCACTAGAATTTAGGACTAGTTGTTTAACCTAAGCCTAGACAGAAACCAACCTGAATACTTTTAATAGAAATTAAAGATTCAAGACCAAACACTTATAATTAATTGTAAATTCAAGCCACTCGCTAAGGTAACGGAAACTCTAGTCAAACATTGGTGTATTTGGGCCAATCATTGGCCCCGTTTGCAAATACTTGGCTAAGGGTCTTGGAGCAAATATACGTAAAGTCAAGAGTGTGGTGACGGCACTTTTATTTTACCCGTAGTTATGGCAAGAGCTGACTGTGAACAGAGCTGGCAGCAGAAATCTATACTAATATTATAAAGAGGTAAAATTTGTAAGTTTGTGTGCAGGGGTTAATCTTTGGAACCACTGGTCGGATTACCAAAATTCTTTCACTGATAGATAGCTACAATGTTCCTGAGTGCTATAGGCAATAAAACATCACGCTACGACTAAATGGAGCCGAGCAGCGAGTGAAACCGCAAGAGAGTAGCTAGTCTTTAATATATTTGAATCTTTTTAACTGCCAAATGCAAATAGACTAGAATCAAGTGATAGTAGTAGGTACAAATTCAAATTCAAAATCATTTATTCCAACTAAACCATAAATTGGTACTTTTGAAACGTCACAATAGAATAGTAGTCTGTCAGTCTGTTCGTCAGTGAAGCTCCGTGCTCGTTCCAAATTGTAGATTCGAATGGAGAAGAACAGGCAAGAAAAAAATAGCTATCATTGTTACTCTTTCAAAAAAATATGTTTTACAAGCTGGAGCATTCCCAGGAGATGTTGATTTACGGACAACTGCATCTTAAACGTAGCGCTTTCGCTGGACCTTAAGGTGGTTTGCTTGCGTATAGTCAAAGTCAGAATCATTTATTTCAATTACACTCTTACACGCTCTTTTGAACGTCAAACAAAGCGTAACGATAGAAAGGGTCAGTCTGTCGGTCAGTCCTCTTAGTTAAGCTATTTGCTCGTTCCTAAGTGTAGATTCCAATGGAGAAGATTGCGTGTTGCGTTCCCATCGTCCATATACACTGTACTATGCGGCCGTTGTATCTTGGCGAGTCTGAAGTTAGCCGAGTAGCTGCGCAGTACACAATTTTGTTCCTAAAAGATCCATTGCGCAGACAAACGGCTAACTTCAGACAAAATTATTGTATAACCGATGACTCTACACTACCTAATTCATAATTCCTACTTACCATGCGCACGCGCCGATCAGACACAATAGCCTCTTACCTAATTTATTTACATTACTATAGTCTATGTGGGACATGGTGTCAATTGAATGATAAACACATAACTGCCCACTTTTCATGTGGGCAATTTTGCATTCAGGTCTTGTGAGTGATCAGTTGTGGTCTAAGAGCTGTGGTCTCAACCTAGTTCTTGTATTATGGTGGTTTATTTTATTATCTTTAGAGATTATAGTTTCACCTGATATGGGTAACCTACTGTTTCAAATGTGGGTTTAAGTGGTATCATAGGCTTACCTGAAGACCTGAGAAAAAAAAACACTTTCACTACTAAGCGAGGTTACCGGAGGCTTAATCCGCCTGCTCCCAATGCCCAAATCTACCAACCCTTAAAATTTTTAAGCCCAAAAAGGCCGGTGATGTCCTGTAACTCAACGTATGTGTCCATGGAAGACGCTGCTTGCTTACCACCAGCTCAATGGGGTCCATTAGGGCCAATGTACAGCCGGTGTATCACGACACGAGCCCGGAGCAGAAGAAGCTATGGGGTGGTTTTTAGTTAGTAAGAATTTGTAATTTCGAAATTATGCTTTTAGTTTGTTATGACTCTGGACAGAAGCCTAGAACGGATGCCAGTACTGAGAAGAATTTATGATCATAGGAAAATTTATTTTGTACTTTTTTACTTAGACTTGGAATATTAATATTTATTTCATTTGTTTCAGGTACAAACAACAACTAAATGTGAAAATAATAACAAAATAAAATTAAAACAACTAAAAAACAATAAAAAAGTGTAAAAGTGTAAGTGATGTGAACAATAATGTGGACTGGTATGGACTACGCATAGTTTCCCGCCAACACAAGATGGCTGCCGTCATAAAATGGCGGCCTAGACGCTTAGGCGCCATGTTGCTTATTTTATTTATACAATTTGTTAATGGTAAGTTTTTTTATACTAATACTAACTTTTGTTCTATTTTTTTTTAAAATATGTTTGGTCCTGGTTGATGTGAAATCTATGTAAACGACTTAAATATGTTTTTTAATCTGGTAAACGCAAACGCTGGTCCTTTAAAATTAGTTTAGATTTTATGGGGCATAAATTATTATCAGCTGAAGGTTGTTATAACAGAAAGCCTAGAAAAGTAGGTAGAAGGAAAATCGGTAAACAATACACTTTTGTTGCCGGTTCGCTAACAAAATCGGGAAATAACATCTGATCCCCCCTCCCCCTCTCAAAGAAACCCACATCTTTTGAAGGCCGCCTTCCACCATATATAAATAAAATTCATTTAAAAACATACCTACAAAGAAATTTAAGAAAAGAGATAAATTGCGCTTGGTTTATTTTATTGTATGCAGTTCAGCAGTTTCGGAGGTGTTACACAACAGACGTACTTTCACATTCGTAACTCTTAATGAGCCTTAAGTCATGTCATACCTTGTTATTCAGAAGCTGGTATCAGTTGTAATTGCTTTTTTGTGAATATTATGCGCGGTTACTTTTTGTTCAATTTTTTTTGTGAGTAGTACCTAAGTTATTTTCTGTCTCAATGGCAGATTGGTTTGCTGATAGAACTAGATTTTTATTTTGTTAGGGTAAAATCATCAAATGACTTCTCCCCGCCCAGAGTAAGGCGAGAGAGAGTGTCAGACTCTTACTGACTAAAAAATTCCCCCGTTCCTTCTCCTGCTCTAGGCCGAGGCCGCGGTTCCTTATAATCTTGGCTGTGAAAGAGCTAGTTGAGGCATGTTTTTGAGGTTCTTACATTTTTCACTTAAATTGAGGTCGTGATCCTAAAGTTCAGGAATCATTTTATTTCGAGTAAAGGTTTTAAAAATAACAAAAAAAATCTTTCAAGCATTTATCAAGCACGCATATATTTCATAGATATCTTCGAACCGATTGAGCTAAAATCCAAATCCTAACTAATATTATAAATGCAAAAGTAACTCCGTCTGTCTGTCTTTTCTTCACACCTAAACTACTGAACCTATATATGTGAAATTTGGTACAGACATAGTTTGGAACTCGAGAAAGGACATAGGATAGTTTTTAAACGAAAAACTCTGCTAGAAGTCACTATAGGACGCGAACAAAGTCTCGGGCAAAAGCTAGTTTTCTATACAATGAAACAATGAATTTATTTTTGCAAATAGGCCATAAAACGGCACTTTTACACGTCAATTTATATGTGAAAAACTAGATGAAGCCGGCATTTCCTATCTGACTACTCTGAGAAGAAATGCCGATACAGACTCAGAGGTCTCTCTCTATACTATTTACGCGTTTAGTTTGCATTACAATAAATGGTGTATGTCTGTATGTATTTATTCTAAATCCATAAAAACACATCTAAAGTTTCCTGGAGTTATAGACCCATCTGATAAAATTTTATAATTTATAACGATTCCGATTAATTTACGAATGAGTCTTTATTACACCTTGTTACCGATCAAGGCCTGATGTTTCCAGTTCAAACTTAAGTCAAGGTCTCGCGGTCATTAACCTGTTTATCGGATAAATGACTCCGTAAATCTCAAGGCTATTAGATGTACTTTTAAAAGATGCTGGGACAACTTGTTTATGCCTTTTTTAAAATGAGAAAGTCATCAAAATGCTTCTCCCGCCCTAAGTGGAGCGAGAGGAAGTATCTGACTCTATTTTTTTTTACTAGCCTATAATGTCTCATAAAGGCTCTCCCCATCTCGCTTCCACACCTCCCGTTTTTTCGACCGTGTCCACCAGTCTCGGCGTCTAGATCGAAGCACCATCTTTTCCAGGGCCTACCCCGCCTACGGCGTCTATCATGAGGTGTCCACTTGGTGACAATAGTGGCCCATCTCTCGCATCAGACCCTTACTGACTAAAAACCATCTCATTTCTTCTCCTACTCCGAGCCGGGGATGTGGTAGATTATTGAGCTTGCTTCCGCAAATCCGGCTGGACAACGGCCCTAGTATTATCAGTGGTGGTATGATGGCATTTGCTTATGTCTGACTTCATATGACTAATTTGATATTCCATATACTTCTGTACCACGTAATAATAATGTGTACATCATCATCATCAGCCTGCAATTGCTGTCAGCATCGTTGAGTAAAGGCCGCTTTTCACATGGAGATATTGATCATCATAAATCACCAGCAGCAATTATCCCCTACATACAAACTTACAAATTTTACCTCTTTATAATATTAGAATGACCGCTGGGGTAAACGTGTTCTAGAGTGGAGACCACGTCTAGGCAAACGTAGTGTAGGGCGCCTTCCAGCTAGGTGGACTGACGACATCCGCAGGGTGGCTGGCAGTGGTTGGATGAGAAGAGCTGAACATCGAGCTCAGTGGCGTGCAATTGGGGAGGCCTATGTCCAGCAGTGGACGACAACAGGCTGATGATGATGATGATGATGATGATGATGATGATGATGATAATATTAGTATAGATTATATTATACCACGTTTTATCGTGTAATGAACAAAGATACAAAAATTACTAAGACACTCAAACAACACGAGTTGTGTGCTAACAAATAGGAATCCGTGTACTTTCACTGCTTAAGAGATTTTACTTTCCATTTTTTATTAGCCACTGCAATGTTTCAGCAGCTTCGTGTCGTACTTGCAAACTGAAATTAATTAAATGCATGATGCAGGTCTTAGAAGATCTTATATTATTATCAGTATCTCATAAACTGAATAAAACTTTTTAACTCCTTCAAAATCCAGTAACGCGTCTGTGACTCTTCTGGTGATGTGGGTATTCATGGGCAGTGCTTATACTTAGTATTATCTTATCCGCTGTTTTTTTTCAAAAAACACAAAAATAGCAACTCTTCTTTTTTTTTCGACACCAATGGATCCGCTCTACCGGAGTAATACCACGGCCTCACAGAAAACCGGCGTGAAACAACCACAGCTTTGTGTTTCGCCGTGTGAGTGAGGTTACCGTAGGCCCAATCTTTCCCCTCCCCCAATTCCTCTTCAATCCCAAAATCTCCCTAAACCGCTTCCTAAGCGGTCGGCAACGCACACGTAACTCCTCCATTGCGACAGTTTGCCGACCTAGTACATAAAAATACCTCTTCTTTTTTCGTGGGAGAGGCATGTTTCGGCACGAATGGATCCGTTCGACGCGAGTGATACAACGGCCTCACAGAAAACCGGCGTGAAATAACCACAGCGTTGTGTGCAGTGAGTGTGCACAAAGCACTTTAAGCAAACATCAGGGTTTAGACCATTTTGGTTGTCCATCTTCAAATGGCTTTCATTAACCATATGACAGTGGTAGACTCCTCGTTGCGTGGATGTCTCCATGGGAAGCGCTGATTGCCTACCATCAGGTGATCAGTCTGTTCGTGTACCGATCTATCCAAAAAACTAACTGGCAACTTCTGAGGTTTTATAAAAGACACTAGATTCCGTGCAAAAAGAAAATTGGTCAAGTTCGAGAATGCAATAAAAACATTCAAATTGCGTGTTTTGAGTTCATTTTCTGAAATAATATAAAAACTATATTTATCACACCAATCTTCTTATAATAAAAATGGATCGCAAAATGTGTTGGTAAGCGCATAACTCAACAACGCCTGGACCAATATCGCTAATTCTTTTTTTGTTGTGTTTGTTATTGTCAGGAGAAGGTTCTCATCGAATAATCAAGAAAATACTATAAAAGTAGAGGGTAAGATTAGGAAAAAATTAAGTGACCCATTGATAGCGAGATTGTTGAGTCGGACCCGTGCGAAGCGGGGGCGGGCCGCTAGTCATACAATATTTTTGGCGTTGATTGGGTAAAACTAAACGAGATATATTATCAATCAGGAGATTACCGGAGGCCCAATCCCTTTCCTCTCCCCATTACTTCCCAATCCTTAAATATCCGAAACCCTTATCCCTAAAAGTCGGCAACGACCTTAAAACTCTTTTGGTGTTACGGGTCTCCATGGGCGGCGCTGATTGCTTCATCACCATCATCATCATCAGTCAGAAGACGTTCACTGCTGAACAAAGGACCTCCCCCTTAATCCTCCATGTCGAACGACAAGTCGCCACCTACATCCATTGGCTCCCCGCACCTCTGACCATGTCGTCTGACCACATAGCGGGAGGCCTTGTTTTTGGGAGGGGAAAATCATCAAATGACTTCTCCCGCCTAGGGCCGGGCGGGAGGGAGTGTCAGACTCTTGCTGACTAAAAACCCCCTGTTCCTTCTCCTGCTCTGTGCCGAGGTCGCGGTGCCTCATTGCGCTTACCCCGCAACCCCGGCTGAACATCAGCCCTATAGGGCCCCGTCTGTGGTGGTCTATTGGCTTATTGAGGCGCGCGCGGAACGCTACGCGCCGTACGCTCGGGTCTGGTTCTGGTCGGGCGGCGAGCTACCCTTACTCGCCGTCCGCAAACCCGCGAGCGGGAGGCCTGCCCTCACTACGTTTTCCGGTCCTGGGCCTCGAGTGCTTTTCGGGCCCATCGGCCTTCCGTCCTTCGACTGCTTACCATCAGGTAATCCGCCTGCTTGTTTGCCGACCTATACAAATATAACATAACAGCGTATTATTACAACAAATACATACATATATATGTATATATAACTGAACGGTATTGTTTTATTCATTACCTTGTAAGTGGTGTCAGTAAAACATAAATAGTCAGCTAACGGGACTACAACCTACATACCTGCGGCGCAGTGCCGCGCCTTATAACATCTTTACAATTTTTGCGTTTTGTACTGTATCTGTTTAATTTTTGGTTTAGTCATTAGTGGGGTTTTCGACGGTGGAGTGTGTGGTTCGAATACCTAGTCAAGTAATTTGTGAACAATTTTTGGATCACACACAGTTGTTCCAAAGCAACCAGTTGCCCAGCCACGACGCTAACTGTGCATAGAAAAAGCACTGAACCTCAAACATCCAATAGACCACCAAAGACGGGGCCCTATAGGGCTGATGTTTAGCCGGGGTTGCGGTGCAAGCGCAATGAGACAGCGTGGCCTTGACCGCGGCCTTGAAGGAACAGGAGGGTTTTTAGTCAGTAAGAGCCTGACACTCCCTCCCGCCCGACCCTGGGAGGGAGAAGACATTTAATGATTTTCCCCTCAGAAAAAAAACCTGGAACTTAATAGATGAATATTTATGAACTTACTTATAAGCATTGAAATAACTCTAACAAAGATATATTTGGCTACATTGCCGCTAAATACTTTGAATAATTTGACTGCACGGTCGGTGCGGTGGCTGGGCAACTAGCTGCCGTTTAGTGTATTAGTTTATGCTGCCGTGCAACGCGTCGCGGGTTCGATTCCCGCACGGAACAACGCTTTGTGTGATCCACAAACTGTTGTTTCGGGTCTGGGGTTTTTTTTTTTGTGAGCGGAAAATCATCAAATGACTTCTCCCGCCCAGGGCCGGGCAGGAGGGAGTGTCAGACTCTTACTGACTAAAAACCCCCCTGTTCCTTCTCCTGCTCTGTGCCGAGGTCGCGGTACCTCATTGCGCTTACCCCGCAACCCCGGCTGAACATCAACCCTTTAGGGCCCCGTCTGTGGTGGTCGAATGGCTTTCGGGTCTGGGTGTCATGTGTATGTGACATTGTATGTTTGTAAACGCACCCACAACACAGGAGAAAATCCTAGTGGGGCAACGTTTTATTAAAAAAAAATAAGGGTGAGATCAGATTTTAAAAATCTGATGTGGCTCCTCAATATTCTCCTCCTCTTTTCGTAGGTACATTACATTCCAACCATGTAACTCAATCAGTAACGGCTGAACCATTTGGTTACTGACCGATGCAACCACTGAAGTGCATTATCTAACAGTTAACTTAGCCGTCAGTTATCCAGTTGTTTTCTAACGTAACTTTTATAATTACTGGTGTAGTGGTTCGTATAGAGATTACAGGTTTAATTCGAGCGAAGATTTTTGTATTCCATCTAATAAAATAATAGAAATGGTGTTACAAATTCAAAGTCCTTTCATTTTACTTTCTTTCTTTTTTAAAAAAAATCTAATTCAATTTTAAAATCATTTAGGTATTTTAGTTAGACCACAGTAGACACTTTTGAACGTCAAGCAACTTCATTTTGAAGTGTGGTAGAGCCATGCTTCTTGGATGGAGTATAACCTCACTGGAAACCGGCGTGAAACAACGACAGTGTTGTGTTTCGCTGTGTCAGTGCGGTTACCGGAGGCCTAATCCTTCCCACAATTCCAAAATCTCCAAATCCCTAAACCCAGAGAGGTCGGCACCGCACTCATAACTCCTGCGTTATTGTAGGTGTCCGTGGGCAGCGCTGATTGCTTACCATCAGGTAATTCGTCTGTTCGGTTACCGTACTATCACATAAAAAAATGTGTCTATATCCATAACTAGCTACTCTCGCGCGGTTTCACCCGCTGCTCGGCTCCATTTGATCGTAGCATGATTTTTATAACCTATAGCACTAAGGAACATTGTAGCTCCGACCGATCCGACCAGCGGTTCCAAAGATTACCCCCTACATACAAACTGACAAATTTTAAATTTTACTGCCTTAACTTTTTATTGTACTATCCTACTTATCCTACTAACTACTACTACTACCACCGACTACTTTTCTTACTTATGCTATATCTATACTCCGATTATATCTATCTAATATTTGATTTTCATACTTATGTACTTAATATTAACCTGCTAATACTACTTATATAACTTAACATATATAATACTAATATATTAATTTGCGTCCATCGCATTTATTATCAATTTTTATTATTGTAATCTTAACTTAGTTAGTTACTTTTTGAAATCTGATCCAACAGACAAACTGTGTATACAGTTTTGTTGGACATTTTATACTTTTTATAATGTAAAATGTACCTTTTAAGCCATAATAAATAAATAATTAATAAATAATAAATACCTCTTTATAATATTAGTATAGTATAAATATATGTATGTTTAAATCTTTAAAACTACGCAACCGTATTTGATGCGGTTTCTTTACTAGCTAGAGTGATTGAAGAGGAAGATTTATATGCATAATAACATCGATTTAGGTACCTAGACCAATATATTTTCAGCATTGCAGCCGTGTCTTTACACGGCTGGGCATGTCACTGGTCAGAAATATTGAAAAATTTACACAGTAACATTAAATTTGCAATTAATTTGTGGAAGATTCTTTTGTTAAAATGCGACGCAAAATATATACAGTCAAAAAGTGTCAACATAACAACTAACAGACAGTTTGATAGGGGGAAGGGGGGGGGATTTGGCAATTTTATTCCACAATGCTATGCTTACAAGCAAAGCAACGCTAGAAAGATAATTTCCGAGGTATTGCGTTCGTCTCGTTATGGCCGTCACGGACTCCGCTTACGCCACGCTCCAACTGTCGTGATGTTACCATGGGTGTAGTAGAAAACATTGATCTTTGTTTGGAGAGGTAGGAATGCACCAAAATCTTTCTCTCGTTCATCATCATCATCAGCCTATAAGTGCTTACTGCTGAGCAAAGGCCTCTTCTCTTACGGAGAAGGTTAGAGCATTAATCACCAAGCTTGCTTAATGCGGGTTGGCGATTTCAAACTTATAATTAGAGATTATAAGTCCAGGTTTCCTCACGGTGTTTTCCTTCACCGTATGTCAGTGGTGTCTAAATAATCATAGAAAGTACATATAACTTGGAAAAAGTCACAGTGGTATTTGCCAGGTTGCGAACCCACACCCTCTTGCATGAGAAGCGGGCGCCTTAACCTCCGGGCCATCACGACATCTGGACATGACATGATATTCATTTATATACCTAATATATAATTAAGATTTTAAAGTCTTTTTAACATTTCTTTTAATAACCTTAAACAAAAACTAAAAAGAAGATATTTCACCTGATTTAAACTCATACTTTCTTCCTCTGTCTATGTTAACTTTGTAATTTACATTTGAACATTAATTCTGATACTTAAAAAAATTGAGAAAAAATATTTAATGGTGACAAAATATTTCTCGCACGTCTCTCCTTGTCAGGAGTTGATTGTACTTATTTTTGAAACTACCACATTGTCGGCGGTCAGAAAATCGGCGTGAAACAACCTCAGCGTTGTCTTTCGCCGACTGAGTCAGGTTAAGGAGGCCCAATCCTTCTTCTCCCCAAATCCCACCCCCAATCCCTAAATCTCCCAAATCCCAAATCCCCAAAGGGTCGGCAGCACACTCGTAACTCCTCTCTTATTGCGAGTGTCCATAAGCGGCGCTGATTGCTTACCATCAAATAATCCGTCTGTTCGTTTGCCAAGCTATAACATAAAAAAAAGAAAAAAAAATCTTCTGAGATTTATAACGAAGTTCCTATACATGAATGTCGTAGTACTTTTGCAACAGTATGACATAACAATAGATGAATAGAGCGACACAGAGACTTTCACTGCAGACGTCCACTGTAGCGTGGCGTGAAGATTTTATGTAGGTATAATGTAGGTTTAACGTTTTAGAAGGTTTAACTCTTGTAGATTTGATTGGGCAAATGTAGTGAATCTTAACGAAAGAAAATTTTAAACTTATATTAAACGCGAATTGTGTAGACAGGCATACTACAAACTTTTAGATTATATTGAGGATAAGAATGCCTGGCAGCGTGTTGATTCGGCACCACTGGACAATACTCAAATATAGTCAGCAGTTAGTAAAATTCATCCTTAATTTATATATCCAAAGAGTTTATATAGGAGCACTCTTAAAGATTGTGAGTACGCATATGTGAGCGCCATGTTTGTTTGTTTTTTTTAAAGAGTAACGATGGAGTTTCTTGCTCGTTCTTCTCCATTCAAATCTACAATTTGGAATGAGCACCTAGCTTCACTGACGAACAGACTGACAGACTACTTCTCTATTTTGACGTTTCAAAAGTACCTATTTAAGGTTTATTTGGAATAAATGATTTTGACTTTGACTTTGAGTGTTATTTTTTGTGATTTCGCCGCCATGTTTCGCCTTGTGAGTGTGGTTACAGGAGCACTCAATCCTTTCCCTTCCTTCCGATCTCTAAATCTCCGAAAACCTAATGTCAAAGGCAAGAATCCAATTGTTACTATCATCATCATCTTCCTGCCCTTGTCCCGTTTTATTTGGGGTCGGCGCAATATGTTTTTTTCTTCCATTCTGTCCTGTCACTCGTCACGCTATCGCTAACTCCTCTGTCTTCCATATCACTTCTCACACAATCCATCCATATTTTCTTTGGTCTCCCCTTCCCTCTCCATCCATCCACATTTATACTCATGACTTTTTTTCTTATGTTAATTAAATTAATAATCCAATTGTTACTATGTCACCGGAAAATAACAAGATCCGTAAGTTTATCAATTTACTAGGAAGTTTAAGTCTTACTTTCGTAAGATTCTAAACGGGAGATCCTCTGGTGTTGTGCGATTGTTTTCCCTTAGGTAATCCGTTAGCTTATTTGCTGCAATATCTCATAAAAAACAGGAGTGTATTTAGAGCGATACAGACTTTCAAAATGATGAAAACTGCTGAACTGATTTAAATGAAACTTGGTACTCATATGCAATATATTAAGGACTAAAAGATCAATACAGCTCATCTTATCACATCTGATTACATAATTTACTCACATGCATTCTTCTCTAATTTCAGGTTATGAAGAAATTTACACAATATCACAACTCTCACCAAAATCAGCGACAGTCGACCGACTGCCCCAAGATACAGTCTTGCAGACCAGTCTACCAGAGAATGTAGCACTAAGAATAGAACCCAGTGTAAAATATGACGAAGAAGAACCACCTGTAGACATCCATGAAGACCTGGAACAGCATGTCGTAGTAGCCAGGTCTGCAGATCCTGTAAGAGAATCTAGGTCTATAAACATAGATGAGATTCCTAGCTCAAATAATGAAATTGATAATCACTTAGAGCTACACAATAAGAGGAAGTATTACGACATCCATCCAACGAAAACAACGGGATATTTAAGAAGTGATGATGATGTCATACTGTCTTCTGAAGGTTTCGGAGACAGGTTGGAGTTTAAGTTTCCGGGGGAAGGGAAGAGGGTCCCAAAAGCGCGCGCACTGGCGCCTATGGGGCCCAGAATACGGCCTACTGCAGTGCAGCCGATTTTTGCGACAGCTACCCCTAGGAAGGACGAGCCGAGACAGAATACTGAGATCCAGAACATTATAACTGGGCTTGTAAAGTTACTGAATGGAAACGTTAACGTACAAGCTAATTCTCAGCTTCTGAATGGAAGACCAGGTCGCCCCATGGCGTCTAGGATCAATAACCGAGGTCCTCCGAAGATATCTGATGTTCCACCGCTGCCAGACTTCGATCCGCCTATATCACCACCTCCTCATCACTTCCATCCTACTAAAACTCCGCCTCCATATCCATTCGACAGACCACCAGTCTACGTGAACATACCAGAACAGATCGTTCCTCCATTAAATAGACCAGGTTTCCACAGACCGATACCTCCGTGGCAAAGACCAAGACCGAGACCCCCGAACAGAAGACCGAACCCAGGTCTACCGATGTACAAACCAATGCCACCTCTACCGAATATGCCAGATATACCAGATGTGGAGGAGAAGCCAGATGATGTAGTTAGTGAGAATGAAACCACTCATTCAGAAAATACGTTACATCATGAAGAAGCTGAAGTGACAGTATCAGCTGAAAACACAACAGAAACAGAAGCTATCAAAGATGATAATAATGATAATGAGACAACGACTGTAGCTGAAACCACATCATCATCAACAACAACAACTAGCACGACAACTACTACCACTACCACTACAACAACTGAACCTCCACCACCAGAAACGACAACAACGGAAAAAACCACGACCACAGAAAGAACAACAACATCAGAAAAAACTACAACCACAGAAAAACCGACAACCACAACTGAGAAAAAGATTGAAAAACCTAAACAAGATAAGAAAAAAGATACAATATTTGGTGAAAAAGATAAGCCAAAAGATAAAGTTAAGGTGGATGATAGACTTTTCAATAAGACTACGCCAAAAGACGATCTATTAGATCAGGCTATAAAGATCATTGAGCCTTCGTTAATAGAAGTCCCGTCTTCTTCTTCTACTGTCAGTGCCACACCTACTGATGGTCTTCTAAGTTATGCTCCTACAGTCAGCGCGACGTCATCATCATCATCATCGTCAGCTTCGTCATCTGTGGATGTGATAAAAACTTCATCGATTAACTCTCAGCCGTTGCCATGTAAGTTATGTTATTTTGAATTATTTTATTTGATAAGAATTTAATTGGATACGTTCTGTAGCACTTGGTATTAAAAAAAGTCTATCCTTACCTGATTGTAAAGTAAATACAGATTTGTAAATAGTTCACAAGTTGTGTCAAATAATCCAATTAGTAGTGAATTTTGACTGAGAATATAAAAATCTATGATTACTTTTTATTATGAGATGGTAGATGGTTAATCAGCGCCGCCATATGAGTGACCATCCTTCATATTAAACGAGCTCTTCTTTTTCTTTATTGTTTTTCATAATTAGAGTAAAAGTCTAGCAGACAACGGATAGTGATCCGTTTATTTATTCCACACTTGGATACTAATATAATAAAGGGTTCAAATTTGTAAGTTTTTATGTAGGTGGTAATATTTAGAATTGCTGGTCGGATGTCCAAAATTCTCGCATTGATAGATAGCTACAAACCCTCACACTACTATCTATAGGAGCCGAGCAGGGAGTGAATCCGCGCAAGAGTAGCTAGTCATTCATAATGTAGAACATAGGCTTACTCAATGCCATAATGCCTTAGGCATCTTCTACCAGTCGAACCTTGAGTGATGCTAAGGCAAGAAGTAAAATATTTCTCATCATCCTTATTACAGAAACAAACTAATACTTTATTTATTTTTTCCAGCTTCGCAAGGCACGATACCTTACCATCCCTACCGTCCACGACCAGGCATAGTCCTTGACGATACAGACTTCAAACCCCATGGTTCCCGCTACCGGCCTCAAGCTGAGGTGTCTGTGATCACAGCACCAGAGACCAGACCTCCAGGGTATGGGGAGATCTTCGATGTTACTGTGTCTGCTATTCAGGGACTGGGAGAAAAGGGTGAGGCTTCAGGTAAGGCCAATTTCTTTCTATGGATTAAGATGCACCCACTATCCCACACCCGGAATCTGTATTACATATATTTCAATATGTAATTAAAATAATGTGGGAAAGTGTGGGAGAGCCATGCTTCGGCACGAATGGGTTGGCTCCATGTGATACCACTGTCTTACAGAAAACCGGCGTGAAACAACCACAGCGTTGCGTTTCGCCGTGTGAGTGAGGTTACCGAAGGTCCAATCCTTTCCCTTCCCGGACCCTTCCCCAATCCCTAAATCTCCAAATCCCTAATCCCTAAAAGGTCCGCAACGCACTCGTAACTCCTCCGTTGCGGGTGTCCATGGGCGGCGTTGATTGCTTACCATCAGGTAATCCGTCTGCTCGTTTGCCGACTAATTACATTAAAAAAAAAATGTTTACTGGAAATTGTTAGGCAATAGCACGGACCCCGAGTTTGTGGAGAGTGTCAATCATCAGTATAAAAAAAACGCACCCATGATACAGGAGAGAATCCTGATCTGGGTGCGTTTATCAACATACAATTTCATATCCATATATCAAACCTAAACGAAACTCCGAATAGTTTTATAAAAAAAATTTCCTTTAGCTTTCTGCTCGCAACTTCGTCCGTAAACCTTAATAAATTATACAACTTCTTCTTGAATAATTCCATCTATTATAAAACCGCATCAAAATCTGCCACGTAGTTTAAAAGATTTAAGCGTACCTACATAGAAGCAGACAGCGGTTTTGTTTTATAAGCACTACCTTTTTTACTGCAGGGAAAATCATCAAATGACTTCTCCTGCCCAGGGTAAGGCGATAGAGCGAGTCAGACTCTTACTGACCAAAAATCCCTCATTACTTTTCCTGCTCTAGGCTGAAGGTGTCTTAATACACTTGTTCCGAAACACCGGCTGAACATCAGCCCCTTTTAGGCACCATCTAGTGATCTTTTAAACCCGTATTACCCATTTAACGAACCCCATTTTTAACCCCCTTCGGAAAAAGAGGGGTGTTATAAGTTTGATGTGTCTGTCTGTCTGTCTGTCTGTCTGTGGCATCATAGCTCCTGAACGAATGAACCGATCCCAATTTAGTATTTTTTTGTATTTTAGGTGTCTTACGGGCGAGTGTTCTTAGACATGTTTGATGAAAATCGATTGAACCTTTTAAAAGTTATGGGGAGTTAAAGTGGGGAAGAAAAACCGAATGTCTGCAAATATGCTCAAGTGGGGTATCAAATGAAAGGTTATGACTTGTACCTACGTCACAGAAAACAAAAACTTTAATAAGTTGGATGTGTCTGTTTTTTTACTTAAATGTAGCTTATGTTTTTTTAATTGTGAATTTGATTATCCTTATTACAGTCCACATAGAGAATGTGAACCTATCAGGCCATGAGCACGATGACATCATAGTGTCACCGTCAGGAGAGCAAGGATTCGTCTCCATTGATGGGAAAAGGACGTACCTGAACCTCTTCGATACTTCGACTCCTGGTCCTACCATCAGACCTACAAGGGTGCAGAGCATGCCTCAATCTGGTAAGTTTATCGATCAGTCAATCACCATTATTGTCATCCCCATCATAAGGATGGTTGACAGTCCAAAATTATATTAAAAACATTTTTTTACTAACGCTTACACAAGGCCATAAAAAAGTAGCCTTTGTGTTATTCAAGGCTATAATCTAGCTCTGTGCCCAAATTCATCCAGATCTATTTAGTAGTTTTTACATGAAAGGGTAACAAACATCCAGCCATATTTACCAACTTTTGCATTTAATATTAGTAGATTGTGACAAAGTCAAAGGTCAAAATCATTTATTCCAACTAAACCATAAATAGGTACTATCGAAATGTCAAAATAGAATAGTAGTACTATCAGTCAGGCTGTCCGTCAGTGAAGCTAGGTGCTCGTTCCAAATTGTAGGAGAAGAACGAACAAGAAATGAAACCGAACAATCGTTATCTACTATTTTTAAATAATAGTATTTGTTTTACAATTTCACTAATACAACATCTACAGTTCTATACTAATATTAGAAAGACGTAAAATTTGTAAGTTTGTATGTAGGGGGTAATCTCTGGAACCGCTGGTCGGATTGCCAAAATTCTTTCACTGATAGGTAGCTACAATGTTGCTGAGTGCTATAGGCTAAAACATCACGCTACGATCAAATGGAGCTGAGCAGCGGGTAAAATCGAGAGTAGCTAGTTTAGTATACATTATTGTACCCATATGTGAGAATAATAAAGAGACAAGTTGTAATGCATCTAAAAAATATTTTTCTTCTAATTACCAGTATCACCGCTCCCACCTCCTCCTCTAGCACCCACTCTTGGCACAGGAGAAGCTATCCCAGCGGACGACATCCCCCTACCCCAGCAGCCTGTCAGGAGACCAGTTCATCATCATCAGCATGCACAGCCACATAGACCACAGCAAGGATTTAGAAGACCACAGCCAACCGTCAGGTATGTTTGAAAAATTGAAGACTTTTTGTTCTTCAAGGACGTTTGATTAGAACTTTTTTTATGTAATAGGTCGGAATCAGCACCACCCATGGACGACGGATGACTTATGAGTGCGTTACCGTCCTTTTGGAGATTATGGATTTGGAGATTTTGGGAATGAGGGAAGGATTCGGCCTCCGGTAACCTCACTCACACGACAAAACACAACGCTGTGGTTGTTTCACGCCGGTTTTCTGTGAGGCCGTGGTATCACTCTGGTTGAGCTGACCCGAATCCGCCGTGCCGCGAGATTGTCTCCTAAACTTTTTGAGGAGTAGGACAGCAAACGTCTGGACTGATTACCTGATGGTAAGCAATGGGCATCACCTCATGGACAACCGCTACTCTAAAGACTCACAAGTGCACTGCCGGCATTCTGGGGTCTGATGTCAATCTCAAGGGATTGAGCCTCCAGTTACCTCACTCACCTGCGAATCACAAGGCTGTGGTTCTTTCACGCCGGTTTTCTTTGAGGCCAGAATTCCTGCCGAAGCTTGGCTCTCCCAAACTTTTTACAGATAAAACTATTCCTACATAAATCTTCATATATTATAGATATTTAAATAAATCTTCGAGATTCTCTGATGACTTTTTCAGTATATGTAATGTGTTTAATATTTGTTTCAGGATCGACACTTGTATCGTTGGAGACGACTCCACGTGTGACCAGACACAGAACGAGAAATGCAGAACCGAAGCTGGTAAGTGGTTGGCGTTTTACGGTACATAAATACATAAGATAATCTAGTTCAAATGATAGGGCTTTTGTCCAACAGTGGACGTCTTCCGACTCAAGATGATGATGAGGATGAGAGTATCTACTCTACGATAGATAATTCAAAATGTCTGACTTTTTAATGTCAAAAAATTTTTAAAGATATAAAGTGTCAGTCTGTCGGTCAGTCAGAAGGAGCTAAGAAAAAAACTGGCAAATTTGAAAGATGGAAGTCGTGGTGGCAGGACAATTTACGTCTCTTTTTTGAAAATCAAAGTCAAATCATTTATTTCGAATATACCACTATACGTACTTTTGAACGTCAAACAAAAGGTAAATGCCAAAAAGTTCAACTTTGTCTGTCGGTCAGTCCTCTAGTGAAGCTATTTGCTCGTTCCAAAGTGTAGATTCCGATGGAGAAGAACGAGCAAGATTACTCTTTTTAGATTCTTTGGTACATTTTTTTGTTATTAGTTCGACTCTGTGTGAAGAATTAAGAATTAAGACTTATATAAAATTTCAGGTATATCCAGTTGCCAGTGTCGGCCCGGTTACGCTAGGCGCATACACAGAGACCCCTGCAGGCGAGTTGTGGCGTTGCTCCTCAATCTGAGGGTCGACAGGCTTTACGAGAGGAAGGTAAAAATGACATGAAAATTCTCGCTTTCTTCTTTATTGGATTACCTGATGGTAAGCAATTGGTGGCGCTCACTGACGGCTGCAACACTAAAGGAGTTACAGCCTTGCCTGCATTTTAGTGAGTTGATAAGGATTTGATAATTCAGGATTTGGGGATTGGAGAGGGGGGATAATGAAATCGCGACACCAAAGGAGTTACAAGTGTGTTGTCGGCCTATTAGAGATAAGGGTTTCGGATTTTTAAGGATTGGGAAGGGATGGGAAGAAGGGGTGGAATTGGGCTTCAGGTAACCCCATTGACATGGCGAAATACAACGCTGTGGTTATTTCACGCCGGTTTTCTGTGAGGCCATGGTATTGAGCTGACTCATTCGTACCGAAGCTCCGCTCTCCCACAATGTAACAAACGCTATATTAGGAGATCAGAATATTTTTAGCTTTTCGACATTATTTGTTAATTTTATAACATCTCTCTATAAATATTTCCAGGTGGCTTGGGACGCTAAGCTGGCGGATAAGGAATCTGACCCGTATCAACAACTCAGCTATGAAGCCGTTCGCGCTGTAAGTATATTTTTGACACTATCGTCTTTTTCGAAGTGAAGTCTTTTCCGAATAACTGGTCTTTTCCGAAGTAGAAGTCTTTTTCGTAACAGTCATAGAAGTAGTTCTGTGACTAGACCAGAAAACTATAGGTTTCACAAAAATCTATCTGCCTCCGATTTTCCCGTTTTTAATTTCCAAGGCAAAGATCTTTATAATTTCAACCAAATAGGTCGATCCGTTTTTGCGTGAAAGAATAACAAACGTACATCTGTACATTCTCACAAACTTTCAAATATATAATATTAGTAGAGATAGTAGGATTAGAAGGATAGTAGGATTAGTAGGATTAGTAGGATAGTAGGATTAGTAGGATTAGTAGGATAGTAGGATTAGTAAGAAGTACGATTTCTGCCAATACGAAAAATATTGAACTAAATTTTGTTGACAGATCGACTCAGCGTTTTCCATGACTCCATTTTCTGATGACTTCGTGAGCGGTTCAGTTAATTCCGTCCATCAAGGAGACGAGAACAATCGAGGGGTTTACGTGAATCTGACTATTTTGGTGAGTGCAAAATTGTTAAAGGAATTAAAAGCAAACTAGCTGATGGTAAGCAATCAAATGACGCCCGTTAACATTCGTAACAATGAAGGAGGTACAAATGCGTTGCCGGTCTTTTACGGATTAGGGATTAGGAGATTCTGTGAGGGGAAGGATTAGGTTTTAATATATTATGCCTTGTGGGGCATATAATTCTCAACGAAATCGGTTCAGCCGTTTTTGAGTTACAAAAGTTTATAATTATGGCGTATTTATTAAACATACATGTATAAACATACAAGTATTATTTTTAAACATTTCTTAACATTAAAGAAAGAATCAGACATAGCGGAAGAACTACAATATAGTTATTAATAACTCATTTTAAATTTCCCCAAAACAGATGCAAGAAACGGCAGAGACCCTCCGACCTTCAGTGGGGTCTGACATACAGAAGCACTTACTGGGGGTCATAAGGAGGAGGTCTAATAACGTGGGGGCCTCAGCACTCTTCGTGGACACTCCCGCTGGCAGTGTACTGCCTTTACATGGTAAATAAATTCACTTTTTTTTAAAGTAGACAAACTAGCTTTTGCACGCGACTCCGTTCGCGTGGAATAGTGACGTCCTGCAGATTTTTGGTATAAAAACTATCCTATGTCCTTTCTCGAGTTCCGAACTATGTCTGTACCAAATTTCACAGAAATCGGTTCAGTAGTTTAGGCGTGAAGAAAAGACAGACAGACAGACAGAGTTACTTTCGCCTTTATAATATTATAGTTTGGATGTCGGCAAACGAGCTGACGGATTACCTGATGGTAAGCAATCAGCGCCGCCCATGGACACTCAAAGGAGTTATGAGTGCGTTGCCGGCCTTTTAGGGATAAAGGTTTCTGATATTTAAGGATTGGGAAGGGGCAGGGTCTCCGGTAACCTAACTCACACGGTGAAACACAACGCTGTGGTTGTTTCACGCCGGTTTTCTGTGAGGTCGTGGTATCACTCTGGTCGAGCTGACCCATTCGTGCCGAAGCATGGCTCTCTCACACTGTAATACACACTATATGTATAAGAAGGTCGGGCGAGGTCGTCTCACGTACACCAAGCGTTGACACTGTTATTGTTTTGCTCCGTTAATTTTATTCATAAAAGTGGTTAAAAGTGATTGTTACAAATAGTGCTATATATCCCCGTAAAGCTAGTGAAACAAGCTACAAAGTGGTGTATACATCGAGCTTGGACTGTGAACCATTCGTGAGTAATAGACAGTAAACTTTCGAAAATAATTTCTAACGGCGACTTTTTGCATCATCCCTGACCTAGGACAACCCGCGGTTCGCCCGCTTCTACGCACACACTCGCAACGCTTACATACGCACTCCCACGGCTCTGCACTCTATACCAAACTGCTACGCTTGTGTTGTCAGCCGTTCGCGTTGGCTGTTTATTTGCTCCGCTACGCTTGTTGCACGCCAATTAAAATATAAGATGGCTTCAAAAAATAGTGTTTGTGCTGGGTGCCTTAAAGAAATAACAAAGGCTGAATTTTTGAAATGCTGCGAATGTTTGTCAAAGTACGACGTTGCTTGTGTAAATGTTCCAAGTAAAAATTTTTATCTTATGGACCATGACTACAAGTCTACGTGGATATGTCCAGAATGCAGTTGTAAACAACTTAAGAGGGATAATACAAATACTCCCGTGCGATCCGCAAACAACTCTTTTGGCTCTCGCCAATTGGCAGACCCCAACAAGCCACCTAGTCCTAAGAATGTACATTTACAACATGGCCCGCCTGATTCAATGAATGTAACTCATAGAAAAAAGAGTACTGAATTCTTCTCCGAGCAAAAACTTAGAGACATTATAAAACAAGAACTGAATATAACCCTAAAGTCAACCTTCAATGATTTTTTTACAGACCACCTTAATAAAATAAGAAGTGAAATAGCAGAATTTAAAAATTCATTTGTATTTTTTAACGAAATTTTTGAAGAGTTTAAAAAGAAATTTGAGGAAAAAGGCAACTTGATCTCCCTACTTGAGTCTGACAACAAAAACCTACAGCAGTGTGTCAACGAACTATCGAATCGACTGCGTGTGTTGGAGCAGAACATGCGTGAAAATAACGTGGAAATTAATGGTCTGCAGGAGAAAAAATCCGAAAATCTAGTAACTACTCTGCAAACACTGGCGAAGGTTACTGGTATTAATATGACTGACTCTGATATAATGCATATTACTCGAGTAGCCAAATTAAACAAAGAAACCGATCGACCACGCACCGTTATTGCCAAGTTACGCAGTCCCCGACTGCGTGATAATCTCCTAGCAGCAGTTGCCAGCTTCAACAAAAAACAACCCCACGACAAATTAAACTCCCAGCACCTAGGCATAACTGGCAACAAGGCTCCCGTCTTTGTGAGTGAGCACCTATGCCCAACCAGCAAACAACTACATGCGGCGACGAGAAAACTAGCGAAAGATATGTCATTTAAATTCGTTTGGGTCCGCAACGGCCGTATTTTCGTTCGCAAAGACATAAATTCTAAGTCTATACACATCCGTAATCATGATAGCTTGCAGCTTATTAAAGCGGATAATTGTGCAATTTAGATTATCATTAGACACGACTGATCCTTAGTAGTAATTCTCTTAATAATGCTTGATATATATTACCAGAATGTTCGTGGACTCAGAACTAAAACAAATGATATCTATAAAAATATATCAATTTGTAACTACGATGTAATAGCACTAACGGAAACCTGGTTAAATTGTAATATTGTTGACGGAGAGTTCATTGACTCAAGATATGTAATTTATCGAAGAGATAGATCAAGTTCGAGAACATCAAAGAGAGAAGGTGGTGGGGTTATGTTCGCTGTTAAATCGAACATAACTTCATACAGGATACAAAATTGGGAAAGTGATCTTGAGGATTTATGGATCTCAATTGAGCTGTCCGTTAATAATACCACTAGGAAAATTGCATTATGTGTAGTCTATCTGCCTCCGCCTGTTAAAATTGAAGCCTTGAGGTATTAAACTTTGAGGTATTAATCTTAAACAACTCTAATAATTTTATAAACACTGTGGATGAGGTCATTGTTCTCGGTGATTTCAATCTTGGTTCAGTTAACTGGAACAGGTAGGCTACGATAATCCACTAGGTTACTCTTTGATCGATTTTATGTCTCTAAATGGTCTTCATCAATATAACACTTTCCATAACGCTGACAATAGAATTTTAGACCTAGTGTTAAGTAACATTCCGGATTTGTCGACCACTACTCCTGCTGACCTATTATGCAAACTAGACTCACATCACCCCAACCTTCACATAACAGTACCATGCTCTAATCAAAAACAATTAAAAGAAAACTGCCAATCTGGTCGCAAAAATTTTTATAAAGCTGAATATGATAAAATATGTGAGTTTTTAGGTAACTTAGACTGGCATAAAGAGTTCAGTAAGTGTGCGGGCGTTAATGGAAAAGTAGACGTTTTTTATAAACTCCTGCAGCAGTGCATTGATAATTATGTACCAATATTCAAGCATAAAAAATCTAAATTTCCCCCATGGTTCAGTGAATCTCTTATTAGGACGCTTTCTGAAAAAGAAAAAGTGAGGCACAAGTTCCGTATATACAATAATCCTAGAGACAAGCTGACTTTTGAACTATTACGTAGTCGCTGCCACAAAATAGCTAATAAATGTTTCAATGAGTACAAACAGAGGATTGAAAGAGACATACCCAAAAACCCCAAAGCATTTTGGCGTTTCGTAAAAGATAAACGTCGAGGAGCATCCAACATACCTGCTAAAATTTTCATGGATGACCAGGTGGCTAGCGACGGTCCTTCAATAGCTAACCTTTTTGCAGATCAATTTAAATCAGTGTTCAATCGAGAACCTGCTACTAATGTCTATGACGGACGTAGGACAGAAGTGGATTGTATTTTAAACAAAATTGACTTCACTGAAAGAATAGTTCTAAAAACTCTTCAGCAGCTAGACTCAACTAAAGGCCCAGGACCTGATGCTATACCACCATCCTTTATCAAGCGTTGTAGTAGAGTTCTAGCATTACCACTGAAACTAATTTTTAACTCCTCGCTTGCTGAAGGAGTCTTCCCTAACATATGGAAAAGCGCCAAAATAGTTCCCATTTATAAAAAAGGCGACCAATCAAATGTTAAAAACTATAGACCTATATCAATTTTGTCCTGTTTTGCCAAAATCTTTGAATCCTTGGTATGTCCCATAATCACGCGCCATCTAAACAAAGTTATCTCGCCTTGCCAACATGGTTTTAAGGCTGGTCGCAGCGTAGATACAAATCTAGTTGAATTTGTGACTGATATCTCTCGTGCCCTAGATCATAGATCAGAGATCGATGCTATCTACACCGACTTTTCTAGCGCGTTTGATAAAGTCGATCATCCGTTGCTTTTGCGAAAATTGCACTACAATGGAATACATGGCTCGTTATTAAATTGGTTCTCAACGTACTTACATCGCAGATCACAAATCTTAGTCATCAACGGATATGAATCTTATCCATATTTTGCAGATTCTGGCGTTCCCCAGGGTTCCCACCTTGCACCGGTCCTTTTTTCTCTGTTTATAAATGACATAACTCAAGAAATTCACCATAGCAAATACCTAATGTTCGCAGATGACTTAAAGTTATACCGACAGATAAACAAAAACAATGACGTTAGTCTAATTCAGCAGGACTTAAATAGGATTGAGAACTGGTGCATTCTTAATGGTATGAAACTCAACGTACAGAAGTGCTGTCACATCCGATTCACTAGAAAGAAAATCTCTGAAACTGCTTCATATACCATTAATGGCACTACTATAGAATCTGTCAATGAGGTCCGGGACCTTGGTGTTATTATGGATACCAAGCTTACCTTTGTGAGACACATTGACCATATTGTCACCAAGTCTGCACGTATGCTTGGATTCTTAAAAAGAAATACCAAAGGCTTCAAACATTGTAGTACTAAAGTAATATTGTACAACACTTTGGTAAGGAGTCACTTGGAGTTTGCCAGTGTTGTTTGGAATCCAAACTATGCTGTCCACTCACAGAGGATTGAACAACTACAGAGGGCCTTCACAAGGCATTTAGCTTATACCTCCAACAAGATCTCTCCACGTTGCCCATATAACCAACGTATTGAATGCTTTGAAATGCAGACTCTTCGTCATAGGCGATTGGTGTACGACATTATGTTTCTCTATAAAATAGTAAACAACAAACTCGATTGCCACTATCTTTCAGCTAGCATAGCCATAAATGTACCGTACAACATACCCAGGCGCCCTATCACCAACACTTTTCATGTACACTGCTCCAAAACCAATGTTGGTGTCAACTCACCCATCAACAGAATAAGCAGGCAATTCAACCAAATCGCAAGTAGTATACCAGAGATCGATATATTCCACGACACCATCAATGTATTTAGATCTAAAATATTGGAGTCCATTGAACAATAATCTGAATCGTTATATACTTATCCTTTCTAATGTATTCTAAGTAAATATGTAATTTATCCAACTTTGTCCTTTGTTAATCTGACTAGTTTTAATTATAATCTATCATATTTTTGTGTAAACTCGTAATTTTAAGAATGTTTGTTATCTCGACACTGGCTAATGTGTAAGACTTAATTTGTCAATTTGATTTGATTAGTTTTAGTTATAATTCTACAATATTTATTTCTTCTGCTTTTTTGTGTTAACGCTTAATTTTAAGAATGTTGGTTAGCTCGTAATTGGCTAATGTATAAGATCTACTACCTATTATCTAATACATTTAAGAACTTTGTATACATAAGCTGTGAGCCTACCTTTTTTTCAATAAATAAATAAATAAATAAATAAAAAAGAAATCGGAGTATTTTTGACTACTCTTATTCTTGACGTGGGTTTGTCATGGCCGACGAAGATACTATGTTTTCACTCAGGAACATTGTAGCTAATTATCAGTGAAAGAATTTTGGTAATACGCCTAGCGGTTCTATAGATTACCTCCTACATACAAATTTAAGATTTTTAATCAGATTTTTCCTTGATCTTCCTTATTTCTTGTTATTTTCCCAGATGTGGATGAATGCTCATCATCGGACCTGAACGACTGCCATCAGTACGCTACGTGTACTAACACTTGGGGAGGATTTAAGTAAGTGTAGAATAATGTCTATAGTAATATGTATTACAAAACTAAAGAGTCTATTAATTTTTTTGACCTGTCTTAATCTTAGAGCTTCGACCTTCGACTGGAAGGAATCCAAAATAAAATGTATAAATTTTTAGTACTCCGGAAATAGGTTAACAAGAATCCCCCCTCACCCCTCCGTATCTTTCTCTCTTTCTCTCTCTGTCTCCGTATCTTTCTCTCTGTATCTCTCTTTCTCTCTCTCTGTCTCTCTGTATCTATCTTTCTCTCTGTATCTCTCTCTCTCTCTCTGTATCTATCTTTCTCTCTGTATCTCTCTCTCTCTCTCTCTGTCTCTCTGTATCTATCTTTCTCTCTCTCTGTATCTATCTTTCTCTCTGTATCTCTCTCTCTCCGTATCTTTCTCTCTGTATCTCTCTCTCTCCGTATCTTTCTCTCTCTGTATCTCTCTCTGTCTCCGTATCTTTCTCTCTGTATCTCTCTTTCTCTCTCTCTGTCTCTCTCTGTATCTCACTCTCTGTCTCTCTCTCTGTATCTCTCTCTCTCTCCGTATCTTTATCTCTGTATCTCTCTTTCTCTCTCTGTATCTCACTCTCTGTCTCTCTCTCTGTATCTTTCTCTCTGTGTCTCTCTCTCTCTCAAACACACACACATACACACTCAATTTTGAAATAACACTTCGTTTAAAAATACATAGGTACATATTATGTAGAACAAAAGGTTATTTAGGTACTTTATCATAACCCTCATTCCCATAGATGCCAATGTTCAGACTCGACCCTGGACGCGTCGTCCTCTCCCCTGAAGGCAGGCAGGGAGTGCAAGGCCTGTGCATCATCACACTGCAACGACAGGGGAGCTTGCAAGTACGCTAACGGACAGCCTTACTGCAGGTAAGCAGGATGAAACCAATTTTTTTAAGAAATAGGTCGACAAATGAACCCGCGGATTACCTGATGGTAAGCAATCGGCGCCGCCCATCAAACCCGCAACACCAAAAGGAGTTACGAGTGCATTGCCGGTCGATTGTATTTATAAGGGATGGTGGGATAGGGAGGTATTGGGGGGGGGGGGCGATTAGTCAGTAAGAGTCTGACACTCACTCTCGCCTCACCCTGGGCCAGAGAAGACATTTGATGATTTTCCGGCATACAAAAATAGATGAATTTAATAATAAGTTTATGAAACTGATTGAAAACGGATATATAACTTAGGGCTAATTTTTCAATGGTTACATAAAAGTTACCTGGGGAACAATTATGATGCTGTCGCGTCAGAATGTTTGTAAAAGACGGTGACAGCAACAATTTTATTCCTCAGATAACATTTAATCTGACTATTTGAAAATCAACATATAATTACGCGGATATTAACGTAAAATAATTATTGAAATACCTTTTTTTTGTGAGGGGAAATCTTCAAATGACTTATCCTGCCCGGGCGGGAGGGAGTGTCAGACTCTTACTGACTAAAATCTCCCTGTTCCTTTTCCTGCTCCGGGCCGAGGTCGCGGTGGCGCATTGCACCTTGGTAGGCTTGACGTTTCGACCTGGTTGCACAGGTCGTGGTCACAAGCAGACTGAAGATGCAATGTCACAGCTGTCGAATCGATAGGCTGATGATGTGATAAAGTGATGTAATGATGATGATGATCATGATTGTCCATAGCTGTTCCTCTGGATACTACGGGTCTACCTGCGAGGTGGACGGTGAGGTCGTCGGCGTGGCTGTAGGAGCCTCGCTCCTCGCTGCACTAGTTATCGCCATAACACTCGCCGCGCTCATGTCTTGGAGGTAAGCATTAACAGTAGTATTTAATGTGTTGTCTGTTGATACAAACTGTATATTTTTCTAATCGTTAAGTTAATTTAACGATGCAGCTGTCAATTGAACTTATATCAAGTAAGCTGTACTCATTCATTAACTTACTCGCACTTACAAACTCACTCGCACTTACAAACTCCCTCGCATTTACTTACAAACTCATTTGCACTCATTGAAAAAACTTATTTGTACTCACTTGCAAACTTATTTCGAATTCAATATTATCACGATACGTTTAACCAATTCTTGATTAGCTTAGGTACTCAATAAGTTAAGGCATAGAAATAGAAAATGAATATACCGGGTGTAAAAAGACACTTAACGAAGCCAAAAGCCACGTATTCTACCCATTGTTTGGATCATTTTTTTCTTTAAGTCCATAGCTGGGACTCTACTCGTTCTCGAGATATTGAAGGTCAAAGATGCATTTTTTTTGCGCAATCGAATTCTAATTATTATTACAAAACTTTTTTCCAAACAAACAATACCTGAATTTTCGATGTTTCTAAATAAATTACGCATTTGAAGTTACGAACAGTAATGTACGTAATAAATAAATGTAGACCCGAAAAAAACATCGTGCATCTCAGTAGGATTTTTATTTTACAGAATTGTTTTGTTGTTGCGAAGTAAAACGTCGACCTACGTACTTATCACAGCGTTTTAATGCTAAGCTGTGAACCTACGCACACAATGCAAAAACACGTAAAGCTACTTAGTTAGAACTGCAGTATTAGCCGTAGTTAACGGCTTCGTTAAGTGTCTTTTTACACACTGTATTATAAATATACTTTTAAATCTTTCGTATGTTTAAAATGTGGATCGACGCGAGACACAATGTTGTTTCTATTGTATTTTAGATAGTAACATTTACCAGGTAAATCGCATGATATTATATAAATCCGAATTGTTATTTAAAGCAATAATTTGCCAAGTTGAAAGACTCCACTATCGCATGACTTATCAAACTAAATCACTCACTCACCCACTCACTCACTTACTCACTTACTCAGTCACTCTCTCACTCACCAACTCAAACAGTATTATAATTATATTATAACACAAATATCTGTATTCCAGTCGTAAATGGTCGCGGGAACAGAAGGCGGCCGGGATGGGATCTCCAATCTTCAACTACATGGCTGCCAATACTATTAAAACGCCACCTGTCGGTCAACCACCGTACCAGGTAAACTATATAAACTATACTATATATCCGAACTTATATTATAAATGCGAAAGTAACTCGGTCTGTCTGTCTTTTCTTCACGCCTAAACTACTGAACCGATTTCTGTGAAATTTGGCACAGACATAGTTTGGAACTCGAGAAAGGACATAGGATAGTTTTTATACCAAAAATCTGCAGGAAGTCACTATTCCACGGGAACGGAGTCGCGGGCAAGAGCTAGTTATTATTATTATTAATATTATAAAGCTAGAGAGTTTGTTTGAACGTGCTAATCTCCTGAACTATTGGTTCGAAGTGAATAATTCTTTTTCTGTTTGTTAGTACATTTATCGAGGAAGGCTTTAGGTTATAAAACATCACGCTACGATTTGTAGGAGCCGAGCAGCGAGTGAAACCGCGATACAGAAGCTAGTATTAATTAACTAGCTACTCTCCCACGGTTTCAGTCGCTACTCGGCTCCTTTAGATCGTAGTGTTATGTTGTATAGCCTATAGCACTCAGGAACATTGTAGCTATCTATCAGTGAAAGAATTTTGGCAATCCGAGCAGCGGTTCCAAAGGTATTAAAGATATAAGAATTTTATAAGATAGGTCGGTAAACGGGCAGACGTATTACCTGATGGTAAGCAATCAGTGCCGCCCATGGACTAATCCCAAAGGAGTTACTACAAGCGCCTTGCCGTCCTCTTGTAGGTTATTAGGGATTTAAGGATAGGAGATTTGAGGATTGAGGATGAGGGCATTACATTTATCATGAGGAAACAATCATCAAATGACCTCTCTTGCCCAGGATAAGGCGAGAGGGAGTGTCACACTCTTACTATAACCCCCCCACCCCCTCCTTCTTATCCAGGTCGAGGGTACGGTTATTGACAGCGAAACAAAACGGTGTGGTTGTTTCACGCCGGTTTTCTATAATTCAAATTGAAATTTATTTATTTGCAAACTAAGTGTATACATAGGTCTTATTGCTAGTGGCACTTAAAAACTTAGTAGCCTTTTTCAGGCATTGCAAACATACCAGAGGGTACTTGTTACTAATATTATACTTAATAATAATTAATTATAACATAAATTTACACATTTCAAAGAGATCATTTCATTGAGATCATTAGTGGATCGCTGCATTAATATTAAATAATATTTCTGAGTATGTAGGTACTATTATAACATTTATATATTTGATCGTCATTGATATATTATTTTCTGCTTATTTATGTTGGCTTATTTATACATGTTTTCTATAAGGTCGTGGTATCACTCCGGTCGAGCCGACCCATTCGTGCCGAAGCATGGCTCTCCCACACTTTATAAATATTTCATTTTATCCGCAAATTTTGTGTTTGATTTAGTTAATAATTAAAAATTTATATATTTCAAGGTTACTCTGGAAGAACGGATGAGATGGGCGCAGATCGCTGAGGCAATGGCGCAGGCTAGTCACTATGCTGTAAGTAATATCCATTATATTATAATAATATATATACTTAAGTCCAAAATCATATTTATCCAAACTAATATTAATATTATAAATGCGCGAACGGAGTCGCGGGCAAAAGCTAGTTTTTAAATAAAACTTTGATCCACAGAAGGATTTTCTCCTATGTCGTGGGTGCGTTTTCAAACATACAATGTCACAAACACATAACACCCAGACCCGGAACAACAATTTGTGGATCGCACAAAGAGTTGTTCCATGCGGGACTCAGTTGCAGTGGGTGGCTGACGCGGTGGATGGTAGTCAGTCAGTCAGTCTAGTATTATCTATATTTTCAATCGAATTTGTATTTTCCAGCCGGAACCAGCGCAGATGGCGACGCGTCCGTCATCAGCCATGTTCGGAGGATACCCCACTCTACCACCTGTACCTTTACCTAGGTAATTAAACATTATTAAAGCTTTATTATTTGCTTTATAACTTAAACTTAAACTCAAAGTCACTATTTGCATGTTAAGGTAATACAGCTTAACGGGCTTTTTCAGGCGTTACATTACCTGAAGGTAAGCAATCAGAGCCGCCCATGGACACCCGCAAGTGTTACGAGTGCGTTGCCGACCTTTTGAAGTTTAAGGTTTTGGAGATTCAGGGAATGTGGTAGGGTAGGGATTGGCCGTCTCCGGTAACGTCACTCACACGGCGAAACAAAACACTGTAGTTGTTTCACGCCAGTTTTCTGTGAGGCCGTGGTATCACTCCGGTCGAGCCGACCCATTCGTGCCGAAGCCTGGCTCTCCCACACTTTCAATGTGGCTTTAGTTTTCACCGAATGGGAGTCCAGCTGGATCCCTGCAATGACGTACGAACGTCGATTAGAACGAACAATGAATATTATAACACTAGTTATTCGACCCTGCTTTGCACAGATTTCCAAGGCCTTCTCTAACAGTTAGCAGCATTTTCCCCTCTACTTATCTTAATTAAAATTACAATAATCATAACTAATAAATAATTGAATAAACAATTTTTTTTTGTGTTGTATCGCTTACTCGATTCTCGGAACAACTCTATGGTCTGGATTTGATGTGTCAAAACAAGTTTTTTAATTATTTTTATGTTTTTATAAGTTGAAATGTAATGTCGTGGTCGCCCAAAACCTGGCAAGTACAAATGTGACTTTTTCCAAGTTATATGTATGCACTTTCTATGATTATTAAGACACCACTGAAATACGGTGAAGGAAAACATCGTGAGGAAACCTGGACTTATAATTTCTAATTATAAGTTTGAAATCGCCAATCCGCAAGCGTGGTGATTAATGCTCAAACCTTCTTCATGTGAGAAGAGGCCTGTGTTCAGAACTTATAAGCTGATGAATAATTTCATTTGGAGTAATTACTAAATTGTATATTATTCTTACAGGATGGGAATGCACGGTGGCCATCACAATGGCACCCTGAACACAGTAGCTTCTAGAGCCAACACCGCAGCTTCCCATCATAACTTATACGGTAAATAAAACTTTTTTTCTTTCCTCTTTACGTGGATGCCGTAAGACCCTATACTATTGTGTGTAGTAGGGAAGGATGTCCAGAAGCCTTACTGTCACAGCGAAACATAACCAAAGTTTTGCTTCACGCCGAATTTGCCGAAGCATGGTCCTCCCACATTTAAAACACAGAATAGAGCTTATAATTTTGGAATCGTTAATCCTTTTTTGTGGAGGGACAATACGGTAGTTTCCAACTAGTCAAATTCAATACTTTTATCCAAATATCAAAAACGATACTTTTCTATGAAAATTGTATGAAAGACTGAGCTATGACGTCATAACATTTTTGCGTCAAATAGCTTACTTATTTCTTAATAATTAGCTACAAAATATCTAAAACTTAGTGTATCGATCGATCGATGAATAAAAGTATAGTTATTTTTCAATATTTTATTGTATTGAAACATCGAATTAATTTATTTTTGACCTAGGCAACTACCCAATTATCAAATGACTTCTGCCGCCCAGGGTGAGGCGCGAGGGAGTGTCAGTTTCCTACTGACTTAACTCCCCCCCCCCCAATACTTCTCCTGCTCTAGACCGTGGCCGCCGTGACTTATTGCGTTCACCCCTCAATCCCGGACGTGCAGCGCGTAGCGTTCCGCGCGCGCCTCAAAGAGCCAATAGACCACCACAGACGGGGGCCTATAGGACTGATGTTCAGCCGGGGTGGAGGGGTAAGCGCAATGAGGCACCGCGACCTCGGCACAGAGCAGGAGAAGGAACAGGGGGGTTTTTAGTCAGTAAGAGTCTGACATTTCATCCCGCCCGACCTATGGCGGGTAAAACATTTGATGATTTTCCCCTCACAAAAAACCCCGGCATCGCCTATCCGCCTCTAGCAAGCGTATATAGTGATTAATGTTCAAATATGACGTTAATGATGCAATAATTATGACGAATACGAATTGATATTTTTACTTGATTTATTTTTATGTTACTTGAATGATTTTATTTTGTTTTTTTTTTGGATATGTAATTGAACATTTTAAAAATTTGACTGCACGGTTGGTGCGGTGGCTGTCGTGCAACGTGTCGCGGGTTCGATTCCTGCACGGAACAACTCTTTGTGTGATCCACAAATTGTTGTTCCGGGTCTGGGTGTGATGTGTATGTGAAATTGTATGTTTGTAACCGCGCCCACGACACAGGAGATAATCCTAATGTAAGACAACGTTTTTTTTTAAAAAAAAATGGTTGTGTTACAGTGATACTTTGTTATATTACTTGTTATAGGAAGATGATTTTTCAAAGTTTTTCTTTCGACCTTGAATTATCAAAATTAGGAATAAAACTATAAAACTTAATCCCCAGGCTACACGAACCACATGGCGACGGAATCAACAAGTTCCGAAGCGTCTTCCCACGTCCAGGAGAGAGCTGATCTATTAGTGCCTAGGCCGAAATCCAGGGCGAGGAGTATGCATGTAAGTATTATTATCCGATCCAACAGACAAACTGTGTATACAGTTTTGTTGGACATTTTATACTTTTTATAATCTAAAATGTACCTTTTAAGCCATAATAAATAATAAATAATAAATAATAATGTACTGTTGTATTGTCTATGATTAGTATTACTAATCAGTGTCGCACTATAATTGTCTATGTCGTCATATCATTATAAAGAGGGTGGCCGAGCGAGTGTCGGCCATTGACAATGTAACTCTGGTGCAGTGAGCTGCACGACTGTGTACTGTGATATTAAAGTCAAGTATCCAAGATCCAAGTCTTTCAAATAATATTACATGTACTAGCTCCTTTCGCGCAGTTTCACTTGTTACTCGGCTCAATACTTCCCCTCTTCACATCCCTCCTTAATCCTCAAAACCCTTTATACGTCGGGTCGGCAAACGAGCAGACGGATTACCTGATGGTAAGCAATCAGCGCCGCCCATGAACACCCGTAACACCAAAGGAGTTACGAGTGCGTTGACGTCCTTTTGGGGATTAGGGTTTCGGATATTTAAGGATTGGAAAGGGTTGGGGGAGGGAAAAGATTGGGACTTCCACGGAAAAAATAGACATTTCTAGTGGATACACACGCCGGTTTTCTGTGAGGCCGTGGTATCACTCCGGTCGAGCCGACACATTCATGCCGAAGCATGGCTCTCCTAAACTTGAAATTAATTAATTAATTGCACTTAAAATTCAAAAAATTGCCTCAAATGTAAATTTTAATCCCTATCCTTTTTTAACGACTGACTGAAAAAGTAAAAAAATAACAAAAATACGTCGCATTGGCAGTTCAAAAAAAAAAAATAGAGCGGTCTCCCAACGCGACGTATTATTGCTATTTTTTAACTTTTTAAAGGGATCTTAGTTATTTTTAATTTATATTTTTATTAACATTTCAGAATCAAAACGGAATTTACTACGATGTCGAGTATGAGAACGCTCCGGAAGCTATATATGGGACGAAAGGCATCCCCCTATCTACATATACAGTGAGCAGGGGCCCCCCATTCTACAGGACATAGTATATCTAAGTATCGATGGTCTTCTAAATCTATGTCAAAAATGGTACTTGTTAACACCATTTTAAAATATGTGCTTTAAGAATTTTTTAATGATTTCTTAGTAGATCATAAGGGAAGCGATGAAAATTTATATGTAATTATAATTATTATTTGTCAGATTGACAAAGGAAAAAAAATAGCGAGAGAGAGAGAGAGAGAGTGAGAGAGAGAGATAGAGAGAGAGAGATAGAGAGAGAAAGAGAGAGAGAGAGAGATAGAGAGAGAAAGAGAGAGAGAGAGATAGAGAGAGAGATAGAGAGGGAGAGAGGTAGAGAGAGAGGTAGAGAGAGAGAGAGATAGAGAGAGAGATAGAGAGAGAAAGAGAGAGAGAGAGATAGAGAGAGAGATAGAGAGGGAGAGAGGTAGAGAGAGAGGTAGAGAGAGAGATAGAGAGAGAGAGAGGTAGAGAGAGAGAGAGAGAGAGAGAGAGAGAGAGAGATAGAGAGAGAGATAGAGAGATAGAGAGAGAGAGAGAGAGATAGAGAGTGAGAGAGAGAGAGAGAGAGAGAGAGAGAGAGAGAGAGAGAGAGAGAGAGAGAGAGAGAGAGAGAGAGAGAGAGAGAGAGAGAGAGAGAGAGAGAGAGAGAGAGAGAGAGAGAGAGAGAGAGAGAGAGAGAGAGAGAGAGAGAGGTTACAAGCGCTCAGCAAGTGATACATTAAAATGTGGCTAACTAGCTACTTTTTCATATTTGTCTCTTTTTCACTCGCGATTATTGAATCATGCCATCCCACTTTGACGTCTAAACATACGAATTGTTCATGTGTGTATCAGTGTGTCGTTTTTGAAAATCGAATTTTGTTTAGGTAACCCATCTACACCATTTTACTTATAATATCATTGGCTGATACTAAATTTCTCCTCTATATATATAAACCTTTCCAAAAAAAAATTACAATATTTATTTCTCTCCCATTAATTAACTGAAGAAAATTACTAAAAACAAGCTCAAAATTCTATAAAAAAAACTTTATTTTTAAATATTCTTATTTAACATATACCTACTTATATGTGTCAACAATTAGAAGTTCAGTTTTTTTAGCCTATTTTTCATTCGGTATTTATATTATTTGTCAAACACAAAAAAATCTTGAATGAATGAATAAGTGAAGTAGCCAAGTTTTTTTATCTATTGTGATTGGTTCATTAGATATCTGATCATATCATTAAAACGTTGACGGGCCTCGGATCCGATTCGCCTGTCACAGAATTCATGCATTTATTTTTTTAGTATACATTATAAAATATTACAAAAATAACAAAGCATTTAAAATATATTACAAAACTGATGAAAAAAAAAATGTTAAGTGTTGCCCCGTACTAAGATTTTCTCCTGTGTCGTGGGTAACAAACATACAATGTCACATACACATCACACCCAGACCCGGAACAACAATTTGTGGATCACACAAAGAGTTGTTCCGTGCGGGAATAAAAACCGCGAAACGTTATAAGGCAGTTCTGCCGAAACCCTTACTAGGTACCTATATAGGTTTATAAATTATGTAATTATTAATTATTAGATAGTAAATAGTTCTTTAAAATTGTACATAAGACTGCTTTCAACGAACATAATTATTATTACTTATTATTATTTTTAATTAATAGAAATTGAAATAAATTAAAAAGAAAAAGTACTTATTTTTATTAAAATTTTCTTACTTTTGTGATGTGTTTAGTTTTACTAAAAACTTTAAGTCTAAGAGTCTCGGTTGTCCGTATTAAAGTACACTGACAGGGGAAAATAATTAAATGACTTCTCCCGCCTAGGGTAAGGCGAGAGAGAGTGTCAGACTCTTACTGACTAAAAATCTCCCCGTTCCTTCTCCTGCTCTAGGCTGAGGGCGCAGTACCTTTTCGCTTTACCTGCGAATCCAGCAAAAATCTGAAGTCTCAAATACTGATTAATTTTTGATCGAAAAAAAAAACGATTCTATCTTCTACTAATACAATTTTTCATTAGAAAAAAATTGCTATTTCAGTGAATCAATGTTTATAGAAACTTTTATGTTTATTGTCGATTTCCGAAAACACTATAGATAATTATAGTACGGAGTTTTTTATGTATTACAAGACTCCTTACTAATATACATAACTAGAGAATCTCCCTTTTGGGGATCAAATTTCATTAATTTGCGATGGGTACTAATAACTCGAACAAAAAAACAATCAATTCTGTACCTACACTAATTTCCCGCGTTACTCAAATCAAAAAATAACCTATACCAATGTCATTCCAGACTATAAATCTTTTTCTGTATTTCAAATATTTTTTTCAACAGGCCATCGATACGCGAACCATGAATTTGTAAATAATTATTAAGAAAAAAAAAAAAAACTAAATGTCAAATCTATTTTTGTATCTGTTTAATAAACTTTATTAAATAAATAGTGTTATATACTATACACCTATTGTCTATACATAATACTGGTGAAAAATGGTTATAATTAAATTGTATATGTGGAATTCTGCCTATATCCTTTAACCTTTTGGCCGCTACGGTCGGCTATAGACGAATGAAAAATAGGCTATTACTCTATGTCGAGCATAGCCGACCAGACAGACATTATCCAAAATAATATTATAAATGAGATGGTAACTCTGTCTGTCGGTCTGTCTTTTCTTCACGCCTATACTACTGAACCTATTTGTGTGAAATTTGCTACCGACATAGTTTGGAACTTAAGAAAGGACATAGGATAGTTTTTAAGACCAAAAATCTACAGGAAGTCACTATTCCACGCGAACGAAGTCGCGGGTAAAAGCTAGTTAAGCATATTAGGTAGGTCGTCTATAGCCGATCTTGGCGGTCAAAAGATTAAAGATAAAAGGCTAACGCAGAAAAAATTGTAATGTAGATAAAATATTTTTTAGGTAATGAAGAAAAAAACATACACTACTTACATACGTAAAGAAAAATATTGTATTTATTAATATGTATACATATAAGAAATTAGTCATATTTTTTTTAGGTTATTATATGAGGTACTTAATAATTATGTTATTAAGATAAAGATTAATATTTTTGTATTATAATAACTACCGTGAGATGAATGATAATATTAAATTAAATTATATTAAAATTGTGTACCTTTTTTTCGAGATGACCCGTCTAGTTTCAAGTCACGCCCGGAACCCTTATTAATAAGAGTACCTACCAACTGAATTGCGTTTAAATATTTTTTTTTATGGTATAACGTCGGCAAACGAGCCGACGGATAACCTGATGGTAAGCAATCAGTGTCGCCCATGGCAACGGAAGAGTTACGAGTGCGTTGCCGACCATTTGTGGATTCGGAGATTCAGGGATTGGGGGAGGGGAAGGATTGGGCCTTCGGTAACCTCACTCACACGGCGAAACACAACGCTGTGGTTGTTTCACGCAGGTATTCTGTGAGGCCGTGGTATCGCTTCGGTCGAGCCGACCCATTCGTGCCGAAGCTTGGCTCTCCCTCACTTAACAATTGGTGATTAAAGCTGAAACCATCGCCGTGTGAGAAGAGGCTTTTGCTCTGGTCGGTGTAATAAGAAATAATATTAATCTTATTACAGTCGGGTATGAAGATGATGAACATTTTCACTATTAAATGCAGCAAAAGTGACATGCATATGCACACATACAGAAAACGGAGAAATATGGCACGCAATCAAACCTATACTCGACATGTGTTTTGCCCCTCCACGGGGCATCCTCAGGAGATGGATAGTAAGGATAGTGGGACCTTTGCTGCATGTGCATATGCATGATTGCATAGGAGTGGGATTGCATCCTGCAACAAGCCTGGATTTTTGTCGCGGAATTAAAACTATTTTTCCTTACATTTAATGTCATGGATTTCCGCAAAGTAACGCCTGATTCTATAAATTAACATTTTACTATTTCTCTCTTCCCACGAGGAGTTTGAGCTCCTTTACAGCTTCGATAAATTCTTGGGGGACTCTTCATTGAGAGGGACCTTGGTGGTTAACCGGCATGAAAGAACCACAGCCTTGTATTTCGCCGTGTGAGTGACGGTACATCCAATCCCTCCCTATCAGGCCCATGGAGGCCCAATCCTTCCCCTTCCCCAATCCCTCCTCAATCCCTAAATCTCCAAATCCCTAATCCCTAAAAGGTCGGCAACGCACTCGTAACTCCTCCGTTGCGAGTGTCCATGAGCGGCGCTGATTGCTTACCATCAGGTAATCCGTCTGCTCGTTTGCCGACCTATTACATAAAAAAAAAACATGTGAATTCATGTGATACATGTTTATTACACAGACTTCTGGCAAAGAACAACTTATCCTTAGGTAGCTGTACTGGGTCACAGGTATGTTCGTTCATTCGAGTACCCAGTGACCCTCTCATTGTTTTCTGGGATTGAGTGTGTGGTTTTAGTCGGTAAGAGTCCGACATAACCTGCTGTCTGACGCTCTTGTCTAGACAAAGGGTATCCATGAGGATTTCCACACGTTAAAAAAAAAAAGGTAGCTGTACTGATGTAAAAACGGAAGGCGAAGCGCTTGGTTCGTGTGTGTGAATATTGGTAAGTATACCTATCACCCGGTTTCTGAAAGGCTTGTCAATGCTAAAATTAACTAATCTCCTGTTAAATCTCTTGTCAAGTCATCTGATTGGTTGTTTATAATTCAGTCAACCAATCAGATGACTTGACAAGAGATTAAATTGATTTTAACATTGAATTGGTCTTTCGGAAACCGGTTGTTAGATTGACAAAAACGCCGGTAATATATATTTTTTTTTGATTTAAGTACTATAGGTATCAGTCGTGATACCGTAGGGGCTTATGTTAACTTTTCAATAGTGGTAATTAGGGACACAATAGAACAAGATAAAAGAAGAGCAATAGGAGTGCGAACGCAGGCGTTCGCTTGGGGGTTTGTTGATGAATTAAAGCTACAGTATGCACTTCTTCATTGTTACCTTTGTTACCACCAAGGGCAAACGAAAACAAAATATTTAAATCAAATTTAGGGCT